CCTGCAGTGCCGTCCCCACCCCTGGGACTTGCTGAGATGGCAATTGAGACTGGGCATGGTGGCACGCGCCTGTAATCCCCGCTCTTGGGAAACAGTAAACAGGTGGATCACTACAAGTCCATAAGACCCTGAACACCCTGTAGACTCTTCCCTAAAATACAAAAAAAAAAAAAAAAAAAAAAAAGGCACCATTGGGACATGGTGGTGCGTGCCTATAATCCCAGCTGAGGATTGGCATGATTTTTAGGCCAGGCTGGGCTACATAGTGAGTCCAAGGCTAACCTGATATATAACAAGACCCTGTGTGAGAGGAGAAAGAAAAAAAAAGGCCTGAGGATAAATTGTGTACTGAGATTTCAGGTTATAACTAAGAGAAGGAAAAAGCAGGACCCCTAGCCACGCCAGCTGCAGAGCTGTCTCCCCGCAAGGGTGGAAGGTTGCCTGGCTGTCCTAGGTGAGCCATGGCAGAAGCGGAGATTCATGACCCCCATTGTAATAGTTTCTTGATTGGATGATTGGAACTCCCTATCTTTTCATTCATCTGCTGGCTAAATAAGCTGGTGTCTGCACAGGTGCAGATGCAGAAGCCAGACTCCCAGAGAATCCGTGGCACACCTGTTGGGGGGAAGCTTAAGGAATTCAATCGATTTTCAGTTGTTGAAAGCATTGATTTTTTTTTTTTTTAATTGCACTTATGGTTTAAAAGATCCAAAATAGCCTCAGATGATAGACCATAGATCGCGCTATTAGTTTTTCAAGCAACTTTTGACATCCTCTCCGCCTTCTAAAAGGCCAGGCAGTACTCTGGCCAATATAGTAGAGCTTCTAGTTCCAGTTGAAACGCTATGACCCGAGGGTGAGCCATGCCTCTTTTTGGTCCCATGGGGAGGTAACTCTGTGGCATCCTCGTGCCTCCATGGCGTTCCAGGACATACTCTGCTGTCCCGAGCTGGACCCGAGGAGCTCTGCAGCCTTGCTTATGCGGAATGGAGCCTGTGACTTGCTGCTCTCTTCTCTCCGCAGGGACCTCAGCTCTGAGACCCTCTCACCAGCCTGGACAGGGGGAGAGAAGACAGCCTCCAGGGAGACGCAGCAGGCAGGTCTCTCCTTGGTACAGAGCTTTCCCGGCTTCATCATCACAGAGGGCACTAAGAATATTCCAGGCAGAGCCTGTTTTAATGAATGAAGGACGGAGGCCTAAGGAGGTTACACGATCGTCATGATTGTAGGGCCATGGTGCCAGGCTAATCTGCTTAGAGCCTCGAGATCCAGGCTCTGCTAGGTGGAGGGAGAGGGGCTCCTCCCGAGTGCATCCAGGTGTGCTCTCCGCTCTCTCCCCACAGGATGGGGCAGGTGGGGATGCTCCTGGGAGCCCCGGAGAACTGAGAAGAGCTGCCGTGCAGAGCTTTCCTCAGGCCGGGCCAGGAAGCCGTGGAGAGGCTGTAATAGGTTCCTTCTCTCTCTTCCCTCCCATGTGGAAACTGGGTCAAAAAACAAAGCTAATGGAATTGGCACCAAATATCCGATTTCTAGCTCTGTCCTTGGCCTGAGTGGTCCCGCTTAAGGAATGCTTGGGGAAGAGGACATCAAGGAGACAAGGGCTTTGTTTGTTTTGTTTTTTGTATTTTTAGGAAAGGATCTACTGGGTGTTCAGGGTCTCACTACTAGATCAGACTCATAGTGATCTGCCTGATTATAGCTGGGATTATCAGGGGTGGGGCTGGCATGGCAGGCCCGAGGATCGAACTCCTGGCCCTTGGACCTGCTTGCAGGCACTTTAATCGGCTGAGCTATTTGGCTGGCCAAGACAAGGTTTTTTAAGACAGGGTCTCACTATGCAATTCAGGCTGGCCTTGAGCTCACTTTGTAGCCCAGGTTGGCTTCAAACTCATAACAATCCTCCTGTCTCAGCCTCCCAAGGGCTGGGATTACAGGCGTGTGCCACCAGCCCAGCTGAGACAAGGTTCTTGCATATATAACGAATATAGTGACTATGACTGAATGAATTGACTCTGAGGTGACCCTTGGATGGAGTGGACACATGGACTAAAACAGAGTCCACAAGCGGGTAGAGAGGCATGATGGGAGACTGAGGCAGGAGGGTCATAAGCCCAGCCTTGGTAGTTCAGTGACTTAATAAGCCTCTGTGTCAATTTTTTTTTTTTAAAGGGCTGGGTTTATGACTCAGTGCAAAGGCCCTGGGTTCACCAGGGATTGTGGCACATACCTCTATAATCCCAGCACTCATTCAGGAGGCTGAGGCAG